GTGCCGTAACAAGAAATAGGTATATAGCTTTTAGCATCATGGGGATTTTACGCTTGCTTTAAGATAGTAACAATATTCTGTCTTAGAAGATCTTCTGAGAGACGGCTTTTTTTCTGCAAATTTATTAAATGTAATCTGTAGATAGGGCGCCATCTCTTCTTTAAATGATTTATAAAACATCAGGTTTCTTTCAATGTAAAGGGTTCATTAAGGTTTTCAAGTTGTAAGGGGATTAGCTTTTTAAACTTTTTTCCTTGGAAGTAAGATACAGTATTTCGAGGGGGATCCCTAGAATTGATACTATATAAATTACTATAATAATTTTCAAAAGCTTTAACAATTTTATCAGGGGATAAGAGTGTATCATTGTTGTTTATTTAAATTATTTTAGATATAGGTTTTTTTTATAGCTTTTTGGATGCTTTTCAATTTATTAGTTAAAATCTTATCTGCTTTATTGCTCTTATCATATTGAAACGATTTCAGTCTCTCTAGTTTCTTAGATGTTTCAATAATTATTTTTTGATTAATAGTTTTTTTAAGATCATGAATCTGATTTGAAATAGTATATGCAGGATTATTTTATAAAATAAATTTTCCAGCTTAATCATAATAGTTCAGAAAGGTTTTTTTTCCGTTAGTTTGAGAGGCTAATTTTATAAAATGACCCCGTATCACACATTTAAAATCAGCCCATATTGTAGCTGAAAATAAATCATTAGATACATTTTCTACAAAAAATAGAAATTCATATATTTTTTAATATATTCTCTATTTTGTGTAGATTCTAATAAAAAATCTTTAAGTTTCCATTCTGGTTGTTAAATAAATGTATCTTTTAATTCCAAAATGACTATATTGTGATCTGACCATGTAATCTTGATGTAGATTAATTTAGAAATAAACAAAAATGTTTAAAAGTCTATCTGTTCCTGTCCAAATCTGAGATGAATAAATTGCGTATACGCAGAAGTAAGTTTACACTGACACATGCAGTTCAGGTTAAAAACACTTCAGGAAATTTATTAGCATCTAGTTAAAAAGTGGGCACGCAGGCCTTTTTATATGCAAAATGACATCATCATTGAATATCAGATAATAACAAATAAACATCATTAATTGGGTTAAATGTTAAGTGGCTATGTCAGTGTCCACCCATTAATATTATTAATTGGCTCAGAGATTTGAGTGACTAGTGAGGCACCCTCCCATCATGGGATGTCGTCGCCATTGCTCTTTAGCACGAGGCTTACTCGGTGGAAAGGGGGGCTTGGGCGTCATTTTACGTAGTTAGTGATGTCAGTCTCGTGGTCTGTTCCAAGGTTCTTTTATGAATAGAACATTTCATTTTGTCACTGTTCTCCTGGCCTTGGATTATACTATGTTGCAAGTCAACGGAGATCCGCTAACTCCGGGGCTAGTTATGTCCTTAGAGAGAGAAAATACAATCTCTTATTCATTATACTAAATACTGTCAGGAAATTCTGTCATGTAAGGTGAACAAAATGGAGTTAGTACAATAATTCAATACAGGTTCTAATAAAGATTTTAATAATTCTACATCAGTCCCCCCTATGAAATGTTAGATTCTAAAAGATAATCTTTATTTGTTAGTATCAGAAGACGTGTTAGCCCAAAGGCACAGAAACCCCGTGACCCGCTAGCTAGGTGTTATTGCAAAGTGCAAAGCTGTCCCTTCGTCTGTCCCTAATTGGCTAACTCATCTGTCCGCTGGGCACTCGAACACTTCACTCCATGGGTATCCCGAGGTGGCTAACCCACCACATCTCCGCACGGTAGACTTCCCAGACAGACAGATGCTGTCCCTAAGCTGGTCCCTTCCTAGAACTCTTGCACTTTATCAATAAACGGGATAGATTGTAGCGGTATACAGGGCGAGTTGACTTTTTGGAAATCTTGGTCATCAACTGTGAGGTGTGCGTAAGTGGGTGCCGCTTGGTCTACAGTCTTCAAGAGGAGCTTTCTCAGACAAGGGAGGACACAACAAACGAGAAGAGCAAAGATAAAAAGGAAAATTAGTATTGCTATACCAATATGCATCAAAGCTTTTTGCCATCCTGTCATCCAACCAAACCATCTCTCCCAGGGATCTTTTATCCCAGAGTTCCTCTTTAGCTCCTCAGAGAGCTCTTTCAATTTTCCTATAGCTAAGGTTACTTTACCATTGGGGCCTGTGTTTTCTGGGATGTAAGTACAACATGTCATGGTGTCAGGCAGAATTTTACATACCCCTCCTTTTTCGGCTAGAATCATATCTAAAGCCATTCTATTCTGGAATGACATTTGGGACGTAGCCTGCAGCTGTTCGGCCAAACCCTGAAGGGCATCCCTGGTGTAATTAACAAACCGTTGTTGGTTGTAGTAGATGTAATTTATCCAATTTAAATTCTTGTTTGCAGTGACTATGGTAAAAAGTGATTCAAATCCTGCAGCAACTTCATCCCTGGCTTTAAACTCATTGGGCACCCCCCTAGGTACCCCAATGGCATCAATGTAAATATGAGGGTCAAAACTGCCTTTTACTGGGGCTTCACGCTTTACCTTGGTTGGTGAGTGTTTGGACTCATGAGTCTTTATCCATTCTTGATCTCAGCTGTAGATCCCCACACAACCAGTAAATATCCCCCAATGATCTAGTGTGGAATTGTAGGAGGTTCATAGAGACAGTTCTGTAGGTGGCACAATAACCTTTAGAGAAGTTACCCACAAATTTACCAATTCCATCATAATTAGCATAACAGGTATAATTACCTTTATAGACGGTAACACCATCTGGGGGTTTGCAATCTTTGACTAGAAGAGGATACTCTACTGTCCATGTTTTACATATGGACCTATTGAAATTGTAGTGATAGGCAAAAAGACTCAGAACACATTCTTCTATATCTACTGGCAAAGTTAAAGGCACAGTGCCCAGGTGCGGCCGGGCACCACCACACACATAGCATGCGGTTCTGTTATGTTTGTTGGCATTATATTTCATCCATTCTAACCATAGATTAACATCATTGAAACCTGTTTCAGCGGCCATGGTATCTTCAAATGTTGGATTTGCAATGGCCATCATGTCTTTAAAAGATTGGATGTGTGGTTTCAACGGATTTGAGACCATGTGGGTGGTCCCTTTCCACTCAGGAGAGTGGCACATATCTTTAAGGTGGAAATGTCCTAATTTATTATAGGAACCCTTCTTCCAGTACATTCCCATTACATACTGGTCTGCATCCGTTGGGCTGGGATGCTCAATGTTTAAGATTAATTTCATAGGTATGCCTCCTCCGGGCTTTCTCAGAGTCATTCTCTGGAGGAGGGACCTACCGTGATCATCAATTTTAGATAAGACACTTTTTGGTTTGTAACCCCAGGCAGGCCCGGCATTCCATCCCGCCGCCCCCCAATGGTTACAGTTGTGCCCCCATTGTTTGTCAACTACACAAACATAGGGGTCTTTTGAATGAGGGATATCTCTATAGATATTCTGAATCTGTGACGTGGGGAATGGGCATTCTACGATGTCACAGTAGTCAAAAGTATAAGTAGCCACACGGGTACATGATGAATTATACCAGAAGGTGTACCCACTAGCATCTTTGGTGATGGCCACCTGCTGGGCTTTAAGGAGGCCAACTAAGGAGATAATGTACCAGAGGCACATGGTTGCATAGAGTTAGCTTCCTCTGGGGCAGGTGTCTTCTTGCAATGGGAAGCGTGGATCCAGTTAGGCCTTCCGGCCAATTTGACAGAGGTAGGGGAGATCAGGAGAACTTGGAACGGACATTTACTGTTTTCGCACAAATTTCTTGACCAGAACCCAGTCATCGGGGAGCAGACTGTGGTTGCCTGTGTCAGAATCAGGATCTGGAATTGAAGAGAAAACTTGGGCATGGATTTTGTTTAAGGCGTTTGCGAGTTCAGTTACATAATCTACTAAGACATCAGTTTGAGTTGTAGTTGTTGGGGAAAATAGCAACCTAGCCTAGGTGCAGTCCCAAATAGAATCTCATATAGGGACAATGAGGTAGTATTTTTGTACAAGAGCATTCATTAGATCCTTTGATAAATGTGCAGGTCCGTGTGCCCATTGTACGACTGCTGGGTACAAATTCTTAGGGAGGCAGAACTTGAGGTTGTTGGAGTACACTCCATCCTTCAGAACTGCCCCTTTCTGTTTCCACTTCTGTATTTCTTCAGGGGCAACTGTAGCCTGTTGTTCCCGCAGGATTTTTAGGTCAGTTGGAAGAGTCTGCAGAGTAAATATGGGAGTTTCTTCATTTCCGGACACTCTTCTTTCCACTTCCTGTGGTTCTTTTGCAGCTTGTTTTGCAGCCTGATCAGCTAGATGGTTGCCCTTGCTTCATCTGAGTCCAACTTCCCATGTGCTTTTATCTTCAAAATAGCCACTTCTTCTGGGAGTAGGAGGGCGTCCATCAGCTCCTTGATTGCGGAACCGTGCTTGATTGGTGTACCGGCGGTGGTAAGAAATCCTCTTGTTTTCCAAATTAATCCGAAGTCGTGAGCCACGCCCAGTGCATATCTTGAATCCGTGTAGATATTGGCGCGCTTTCCTTCAGAGATCTTGCATGCTGAAGTCAGGGCTTGCAATTCAGCTTCTTGTGCAGACATAGTTGATGGTAAAGATGATGATTTGACAATTTCATCTGTTGTGGTTACGGCATATCCTGTATGGTATCTTCCTTCTTCATCAGCATATCTTGAGCCGTCCACAAACAGGGTGAGATCGGGATCTACCAATGGGTCTTCATGCACAGTTGGTAGATGTGTTGTTTCCATTTTCATCTGTTCAAAACAGTCATGAGGTGTATCTGGGTCGTAGTCATTCACTATGGTTAAATCTTGGAACTCATTCTCCAGGAAATGACGCGGCCATGCTTTTAGGTGGTCAGTTGTTGGATATTTGACAACACCATTTTCCTGTAGCTGTGATTCGTCCATAGTGGCCCATGCTTTTGCCATAGGCCCAAGATCATTCCATGATATTGTTTTCAACTTGGTCACAGGGACATGTGGAATGGCAGTGTCCCAATGACGGTACAAATGCTTGAGTTCCGGAGGTAGATGAATCAAGACCATACTGTTGCCTTCAGAATCACAGTAGAAGTCTTGTGCAGTGAGTTTTACTTCGACCAGATGATAGAGTTCATCTTCATAGCAGGTTTCAGGAGTGATGTTTGATTTGTACCACATGGTACAGAAGGCATATCCTGCTCCGTCATGAAGGAGTGCTTGTCCATCATGAAAGGATAGGTTGGGATGCATTTCCTTCTTGATGGTGCCAGTGAGAAGAAAAACATAAGTTTCGTCCATGATGAATCCGTAGTATACACCCCCCTCAGGGAGTGGCAGAAGAGTGGACGGATTGAGAACTTTACATCTTTGGAGGGTAATGTTGTCAGGCAACAAAAGATGACATTGAAGGCGAAGATGCCTAGCAGGAGTAACATGCTTAAGTTGGACCTGGTTGACTATGGCAGAAATGTCATGGGGGGCCAAGACAACCAGGGGGTGGCCAAGGACAAGATCTCCAGTTCTTTCAATGAGCTCTCTGGCAGCAAAGACGGCCCGAAGGCAAGAGGGACGTCCTCTGGCCACAATATCCAGTTGGCAGGAGAAAAATCCAATAGGCCCTTGGCGGCCTCCAGGACCATGGGCCTGAGTGAGCACTCCTGTTGCATGGCCTTGTCTTTCAGAAACAAACAATTTGCATGCCACTGAGAAGGCTGTCAATTTGGTGTCTTGAGCAGATGTGGGTGAGGAAAGTAAAGATGCTTGACGTACCTGATCTTCTGTAGCAACAGCAAATCCAGTATGGTACCTTTCCTCTTCATCCGCAAACAGAGTGGAGTCAGGATCTGGCAAAGCTACTGCATGCCTTGTTGAGAGGTGTCTTATTTCTTCTTTCATCTGTTCAAAGCAACCATGAGGAGTAGTAGAAGAGATATCCTCACCTATTTCTGTGTGAGATTGAGGGTATTTGTCTTTCCATTTACAGTTCTCTTGCTGCCCCCCCTCTGTAGAGAGCTGATATCGATTTTTAGTGTTTCATGTTTTATTGAGTCAGGTTCCTTTTATGAGATTTCTGGGGACTTAGTGAAGAAAACATGAGGTGCAGCCACCTCCCAGTGATGATACAGGTGTCTTATTTCCATGGGAATCTGGGTCAGGACCGCACTATTTCCTTGAGAGTGCCCAAAACAGTCTGAATAATAATTTTTTTTATTTTTTTTTTTGTTAGTGTGGTATTCCCCCCTGGGAAGTGGCGGAAGAGGGGCCAGAGCAACTTTTTTTTTTTTTTTCAAAATATAATGTCAGGTAGGGGACAAGGTGGAGTAGAGAGAGGAGTAGGAGGAGGAGAAGGTGGAGTAGGAGGGAGGAGTAGGAGGAGTAGAAGGTGAAGTAGAGGGAGGAGTAGGAGGAGGAGAAGGTGGAGTAGGAGGGAGGAGTAGGAGGAGTAGAAGGTGAAGTAGAGGGAGGAGTAGGAGGAGGAGAAGGTGGAGTAGAGGGAGGAGAAGGTGGAGTAGAAGGTGAAGTAGAGGGAGGAGTAGGAGGAGGAGAAGGTGGAGTAGAGGGAGGAGAAGGGAGTAGAATAGGAATAGGAGGAGTAGGATTGAATAAGAGGAGGAGGGAGGAGTAGGAGGAGGAGAAGGTGGAGTAGGAGGAGGGGAAGGTGGAGTGGGAGGGAGGAATAGGAGGAGTGGAAGGTGAAGTAGAGGGAGGAGTAGGAGGAGGAGAAGGTGGAGTAGAGGGAGGAGAAGGTGGAGTAGAAGGAGGAATAGGAGGAGTAGGATTGAATAAGAGGAGGAGGGAGGAGTAGGAGGAGGAGAAGGTGGAGTAGGAGGAGGGGAAGGTGGAGTGGGAGGGAGGAATAGGAGGAGTGGAAGGTGAAGTAGAGGGAGGAGTAGGAGGAGGAGAAGGTGGAGTAGAGGAGAGGAGAAAGAAGAGGAGAAGGAGGAGGAGAGAGAAGTAGAAGGAGGAGAAGGTGGAGTAGGAGGAGGAGTAGGAGTAGGCAGGGGTGGGCAGGTAAGGGAGCAGACAGGTCTCCATTTGGAGGCGTGGGTATGTAGCAGTGGAGGATACATCAGAAATCAGAATTAAGTAGAAATGCAATGGAGGCTGCAAATAGCACATGTACAACAACTGTTAACTGGCCCTATGCTTTCCCTAGAGAAAAATAATAAAAGGCTAACAAGCACATCTGTCTGTACAGGCCTCAAACGCTTCACTCCGTGGGTATCCCGCAGTGGCTAGTCCACTACATCTCCCACACCAGACTTTTGCTCGTAGAGACAGACGCTATCCCTGACTCTCTCTTTCTTTTTTTTTTTTCAACCTATCATAAAATATAACTCTTACTTACATCACAAATATACATTATCGCAATTTTATGTCTCGCAAAAGGGATAAAACTTACTTTACTCTTCACTGATAATGTATTAAAACTTACAAAATAGACAAATAACTGTTTTTCTGCGAGATAAATGAAAAAGATAATGGAGGTTTTGTTAAGCTTTACATTTAGCTATACATTAATTTATCCTTTCTGGTTTCCAGTTTCTCTCTGTTAATGACAATGTACAATGTAATAGAGCAGCAGGAAAAGCTAGCAGAATGCTTGGTTGTATAGGGAGAGGTATTAGCAGTAGGAAGAGGGAAGTGCTCATGCCATTGTACAGAACACTGGTGAGACCTCACTTGGAGTACTGTATACAGTACTGGAGACCATATCCTTAGAAGGACATGGATACCTTAGAGAAAGTTCAAAGAAGGGCTGCTAAACTGGTTCATGGATTGTAGGATAAAACTTACCAGGAAAGGTTAAAGGATCTTATCATGTATAGCCTAGTGGAAAGACGAGACAGGGGAAATATGATAAAAGCATTTAAATACACAAAGGGAATCAACACAGTTAAAGTGGAGTCTATATTTAAAAGAAGGAAAACTACCATAACAAGAGGGCATAGTCTCAAAAATAGAGGGACAAAGGTTTAAATAAAAATACTATCAGGAAGTATTACATTACTGAGAGGGTAGTGGATGCATGGAATAGCCTTCCAGCTGAAGTGATAGAGGTTAACACAGTAAAGGAGTGTTTAAGCATGCGTGGGATAGGCATAAGGCTAAGCACTTGCTGCTAGTAACAGATCTAGAATCAATACACTATAATGCCCAAAGTCTCGACTTCTATGCATATATAATAATAAAATATCTGGGCTTACATTAAAAAAATATGTTAGTCAGTCTTTAATCTTGGTGGTTAACATTATCCAATAAAGACAGATTGGAACACACTCCCCCCTTATCCATTTGTTAGTAGTTAGGCTCATAATGTTTTCTGGTTCTTTTCAATTAGATCAAAACATCTTGAGACCAATCTTTAATTGTATTACCATTTGTTCAAGAAATCTTTGTTTATTAGAAATTTCTTTTAGCATGTTATCAATTTTTTGTACACAAAGTTAAAACATATTGTTACTTAACACGTGAATCGGTATATATATATCCTTTCTACATATTAACCATCACTTGTCACAGATACTTTCCTGATATAGGGATACATTAGCAGGATTATTCTAGTAATTGTAACTTTCTTGTTCATAATATGAAAATCTGAACTGTGGACAGACTTGACGGATTAAATAAGACAGTTGTGAATATTATACATCTAACAGCCCACAAAGCTGTCTCTAGAAACATATACTAACTTAATAACTTCTATTCCTGCATCAGATTCACTCCCTAACCATCCTATCAATTTCTATTGAGATAACAAAATACACAATTAGAATATTTTCTAGCAAAAATTTCATTGCTAAAATCTTATCAGTAGCTTCTGAATAACTCTACAGAACACCGAAGAGACAGACCTAAATCGCAAGCATGTCACCACCCCCCTCCGCCCCCTCCCCCCCCGCGTCTCACAGAAGCGAGGGGAGGGGGGGGTGTTTTAGCAGAGGGGGATTTGAGTGGAACAAGAGAGAGACTGCCTGCCAGCACGAATTTAACCATGTCAACGCTGTACAGTAACAAGACAGAAGGACAATTACATTACAAAGCAAAAACACAACATTTCATTTAAACCCCCACCCTCTACCAGGGTAATGGCTAACACAAAATACAAAAACCCCACAGCGTTTTAAGATTGGGGTGGGATGGTGACCATGGTCAGCTACATTTCGGTCATTACTGACAGGATGATGGAAGTGGTCACCTCCTGGAACCCCCGACAGGGCACTGGCTGGGATAACTTCCCAGTAACACAATTATTATGATATACATACAGTTCTTAACCCTTTATGATTTATCTCTTCCTCTACCCAACCCTCCTGCTGGATAGCCTTTCTACTCTGTACCATGCTTAAGCAGTACGCAATAAATCATTATCTGTAAGCTTGCCTTTCTTCTCTGTCAGTAATCTACGCCAGCTTTCTGGCTGTAATCTACCACATGAAGGCACAGCAATTTTACACACTTTAGCAATCTTTGCAACATTTTTAACCAGTTCTTCACCTTCTCTATCTTCAACTAAATCACACGCGAGCCAGCCCCTAGCGGGCTTACTCGTTTCCTGTCCCATATCCCCCTATACAAAGCGTATAAAAACATATACAAAGTATAGGTAAAGGAAAATGAAACAGAACGTCTACAATGCTCGACTGCCACTAGGAAGGGTGGGTCCCTCCCAGTGCGTCTTCCCAAAGCGTAGACCAGTCACTGAATCCGTGTACCCTCGATGGTAACCACGGATTGGAGCGGGGTGAGAAGTGTGTGACCAATCACTTCTCTTTCAAGAGAAATAGGAGTGGATAGTGTAAATAGTACAGGAAGTAGAGGAAAAGTAAACAGTGAAAGTAGAGACAGACCCAGGAGTTTGAATGACTCCACACTTAAGACAACATTTAATACAACATTTCAATTGAAATACAGTGCATGCATCAACAGTAATCCCTTTCCTTTACTCTTGTGGCCACCAAGACCACCTCCCTCAATCTCGTAGTGTCCCCGCTCGGAGAACAACTTTCGTAAGTTTCACTACCAGCGGCCAAGGATAACGACTAACACCGGCCCGAAATCCATATGCCTCCCTCGTTACAGCAGTCCACTAAGTGTGGCCACCTCTATCCTCACTCCCGTAGTGCTCCCTATGGACCCACCCACAAGTCACACTACCCC